TTTTTGATTCATTAAATATTTACTTTTAACAACAATGTATATATATATATATATATATCCATGAAATTATCACAAACACACCGTTGATCTATTCTGAACTGTTCTGACTGCTATGAAAATTCCATTTTTTATTTATCAATATATTGATTGTATTAATATTAACGCTTTAAACAAAGCAGAAAAACTAGCAGCAACCTAACTTTTGAGAAATATGATGTTGCGATATATTGAAAAAAGATACCTAAGGAAGCGTTTATTACCCGTAATTCGATCGACCACATGATTAGCACCCGGATGTATATCATCACCATTTATTATTAATTTTCGCATAAGTTCTATATTGGCTTCATTGACGATTTCTGGAAAAGTAAGTGTTTTTGCAATAAAGATAGGAATACCAACCTGGTCAATATGCAAATTCGGATCTGGCGAAATGACCTGAAAATGTGCATAAACCAATAATTTCAACCGAACAACCAAAAAATGAAGAATATATATGACATATGTGACATATGTACAAATATATAAGAAAGAATAAATAAAAAGAATCGCTGAAAAAACTACCAAAATTACGAAATATCTAACTCACATGCAATTTAAACCGTTGAAATTAAGCAGTTAGAAAACTGGAGCTTTATCGAGTATCATAATTGTTAAACACGACGATCATTCGACTTATGGATATCAAAGTAAAAATTTTATGGAATATATCAATAATATTTATAACAATATCTAAACAATTATTCATGCTTATAATTCCTGCTAAGAAAAAGTTCAAAAAAAATTGAAAAAATTACAGTCCGGCCGGAAAAATCCACTCGTTTCCCAGAAAGATTTCCTCGAAAACGTCCTTGCTTTCCTTTTAGTCGCTGGGCAAATCCTCGTGTGTTCTTTTTTGGTTGCATTTCGACTGGAAGACCACTAATTTCGCTATTCATATATAACGCAACTTGCACCTATAAAAATCAATATCAAAAATAAGATCAGGTAGTACAATATACACAATAGGTAACACCATACATATAAAGTCGAAAAATCATTTAAAATTAACGAGAGAAAAAAGAAAAAAATAGAGGAAAATAGCAGCAAAATTCTCTTGGTCACTGCTTAGTGGTCAGTAAGTAATATCATCCACTAATTTAATCCCGAATAAACCATCACAGGAACTACTGCTATGAATTCGACAAAGTGCAACTTAAGCGAAAAGAGTAGATTCTCCTCTCAATCATATATTTCATAAATAAGTCTGCTGAACCCTCGATCACATATTTCACAGATAACTCAAAGTTCAACGAATTAGGCTGTGAAGCTCTACCCCACTCATCATATTTATTCTTCAGACTCCTCTCCCACTGACTATCGCCTTTTTCAACATTTTCTGAGTCTTCAAGAATCAAATGGATCCTCGAACTGCCTTCGAAGAACTCATCTGGCCTAGAATAGATTTTTATAACTTTTTTGCTGTCGAAATTTTATTTTATGGTTCAAAATCGGCATTTTACTAGACTTAATAATAATAATGGATTAGAATATTGTTCGACAGCATGCCATAATTGAACTGAATTCGGACCAGGATATGTCAGTATTCAGTTACGTCCTCTATTTTTACATTGTTTCCTTTATATTGTTACCTTTTGAACATGTTCTTTTTATATTATTATCATTGATTTTTTTTCATTTGATAGCTTATTTTTAATGCAAGCAAATGATGTTTGTCGCCTGCTTGATTGCTTCACAAAGAATTGGTGCTTAGACCATATTAGAACATAGTCAAACTGGCCATCATATCACTCTTCTTATTAATTTAACCATCGCTTTAGGTTAAAGAATTAGGCTGTGGAGGATGATGGACGATTTTTGAGAGAAAATTGCTCATTCTACTAAAAGACATCTAGATTATTGCAATATGAGAAGCGACAGATTCTTTCGAAATTAGAACTGCAGGTTGTTGGTCATTATCTTTTCCTCTAATATTCAACTACATGATCTGCTGGATTTACAGACATCATAAAGACAGTCTACAAGCTAGTCCAGATTATAATACCACAGATCATACATAAAATCTTTCTGCAAAAAGTTTCATACAGAAATAAAATATAAGAGATGGTGGAGAATGAATATAAATATATATATAAATATAAATATGAAAATACAGATCAAAGTTTTTTTGTTTTATACACCTAAAATTAAAGTACTTATTTGTTCAGTTAATCAAAGGTCGAGAAAGTGTCAGATTTTAAATGCCTAACATCTATTCACACAAAATGATCAAATGAAAGACGAAATTACAGCGCAGACCGCACTCAGCTCAGAACTATGCTCTTTCATCTGATAAATCTATGGAATAGCCACTAATTTATTATTGAGCGAAAACTGAATTATATGGCTGCAATCCCATCTACCAGGTTGCGGTAAATACTATTTTGCTATACTGCTGTAAAATATGACCAATTAGAGTGGATAATATTTAAAAAAATTATTTATTTTCCACCACTCAATTAATCTTGGCTGACCAAATTCGCCATTCGAATGAATTGATGCATTCTCGCTATCTACTGTCTTCCAACGGATAGCGTAAAAAGTAAGTAAGATTGACACATTTAATATAAAGAGAATCAAGCAAATATGGCCTTAAACGATGGAAAAAGGAATGTCTTATACTCTGAATGTAGAAGCATGGCATCAGAATAAACTTGGAAATGATTTACGCTTTTAGTCAACGCAACCGGTTTGTATCTTTAATGTGGGAACCGGTGAGAAAAAAAGAAGAAAAAAGAAAGAAACCTAATAACCTACCACTATTTACCTGCAAATGATCCCAAGATTCATTGATCGTTTTCGATGGCACACCATCTTCAACATACTTGCGAAGAATCTCGTTCACTAGCATGATTTCTGACAACTTCACAGTGATATCATCCTCGGTTGATCCACTTTTAATCTGAATAATTTTTGCATAAATAATTAATCTTGCAAAAAAAATTGTTCAGTATAATAACAAAATAATAAAGAAAAGATAAACTTCTGAAATGACGGACGGTCGAATACAACTTGGTGGAACAGGCAACCGAGTCAACAAAAGATTTAAAGGATGTTTCATTTCTGAGTCACGCGCCATTAACAATGGTATATCCTTAATTTTTTCAATTTATATAAAATTATCGCATTTTTTCATTGCCAATAAATCAAACAACCAGAGAAGCTTCTCATAATTTTTTTTCGAAATAAGTCCTTTACAAAAAAATTTTAAAGTTCTATCATTTTCTAATTTTCTAAAACTGTTTATACCGCTATCTGTATGTCAACATAACAGGAAATTTCTAAAAAAAATTACTTCCATCCTTATCTTACTGAAAATATCCTGCACATGGACTGGATCTAGCACATCAAACTTAATTCTTGGTAGCAAAGAGTGCAACTCCTTATTCTCCTCAACTGCAGCGAAGAATTCAGGTAAACGGTTTTCTGTTATTGTATCACTGTGAGCAATTTTAAGCACTGCTCCAGTTGCTTTTTTAACCACACCTGTAATAAATAAAACTAATTATGAATATTTGCTGTTAAAATTACTGAATTCAGATAACATCGAAAAATAAAAACGAAATCCATTTCAGAACTTATATTTACCGTTTTTGCTGCCACAGTGAGGACATGTTGTGTTCTTTTTACAGCTCGCAACGATTCGTTTATGCAGTGCCTTCCTTTTTAAATAATCCAAAGACGTTTTGCGCAATTCGTTCAGAAATTTCTCCCTTATTTCATCCGAAACAAGCAATCCTGAGCAACTCTGGAAAACTTTTTCTTAAAAATGTCAGAAAAAAGCATGAAAGAACTTTGTGATAAAATCGAAATTCTAAGCGGAAAATCTATACTTAAGGATCTAAAGAAAATAAAAAATCGAAATAGAAAATAAAATAAAACATGACATATTACTTGCAATGAAAGCTTATATAAATGAATGATCGGAATATTCCTGTCACATTTCAATTCCCTACAGGAAATGAATCCTGCAGCTACATTAATTTCGACAAATTTCAAAAAAATTCGACAAATAACAAAGAAGAAAATAAAATTCGAAACGAACTTTACAAATGCATTGCAGCACATGCATCACACTGTTGAAAAATCCAACATGGAATACAGGCAAAGCTAAATCCATGTAACCAAAATGCCCAACACAATCTACCAAATTCGATTTACAAGTGGCGCAGTCAATATTTTTTTGACATGTCCCCTGAAAAAAAAAAATTAAGGTTCGAGGTTATGTGATGTCATTATGGGATTGATTTTTGTCCTTTGACTGGGCAGATGAGGACTAAATTAAATTGAAACCTTATGATAATGACTTATCTTTACCTCCATCGCTAAGCAAACGATCTTGCGATAACAATCCGTACTCCTAACTAAATTAAAAAAATGCCTGGCATTAGAAAAAACTTCATAACCATAAATTTGACATGTTTCAGTAACTACAAAATATTATATAAAAAAATCTACGAGGATCTTCGAGTTGAGAAAAACTTAATGGATAAACAAACTAACAAGTCTTGTGTCTAGAGGACCATACGGCATCGGCGTAAATTTACCCGGAACACCATCGTAAAATTTACTATTGATGATAGGGATATGTGCAGCCTGCTTCACCATATCTGCACTACCAGCCGTAAACTGTATACTTTCCCTGAAAAATACACTATGTTTTATGGATTTACTGCACTAAATGAAGAGGGGTCGCCTGGGTCATCGCATTATGTATGGAAGGAGTCAAGATGAAAGTAAAATAACAGCCAAGAATAAAAAAGAGACATAAGAAAAAAAAACCAGAGGTAGGAAAGTTAATGCTGGAAAACTAACAATACAATGCACACATTCCATGCATAGGCGGTTTACGCCAATACTGAATGGTGCGAATGAAAAAAAGTTATAGGCACCAATAAATGTCTTTCAAATAAAAAGAAATTCAAATTCCAGCGATTTCTTTTGCGCGATTATTAAAGAAGCGAAACTAACACTTTACGCGACAAATCCGCCTCACGAAATTGTTCTTTCCCCATCGTTTTAAAGAGTTCCTCCAAAGAATTTTTGGAAAATCGATCAATGAAACCTGGAAAATGTGGAAAATATATATAAATTACTATAATATACATTGCGTTTAACTAATTCAGACTAGAAGGTTGATATCCGTAATAATATAATATTGGAGTTCGTAGAACACTATAACAATATAATATATCCCTTTATCACTTTATCACTATGTGGCTTTATCAAAAAATTATTACCATCATTCTTAAAATCACTTTTAAATGTTATTTAAAAATTTGACCCTATATAATCAAATTCACTTGGGGTCTTTTCTATACACAAAGATTACCAAAAAAAATTTCCATAGTTACTATAAGTATTACTTAAAAAATATATAGAATATTAAATTTTAATTCGTAATATTCAAAGTGGTTTTAAACGAAAATGATTATATGATAATATCACTTAAAATGAAATAGTTGCTAAAATAATTATTGTAAAAGGTTCGAAGCAAGCAGTTCGCTTTATTGAGTTCTCTCAAAAGACTCATTGAAGAGGAGGTTTTTAAAGCAGTTTTTATCAGTACAGGTAGAGTAAAGGTACGTTGGAATTTCTAGTAGCAAATCAGCAAAGAGGATTCAAAAATTCTATATAATAAGACGACAGCACCCATAAAAAATAAAGCAAAAAAATAAAATCGACAGGAGCAAATAAACTACGGAGAGCAAAGAAAAAACACTCTGATTTTGTTGAACTATTTATTGAGGGATAAACGCACCGCAGATGGAACCAAAGAGTGAAAGACCCTAATCGATCCCAAAAGTAGCCTTTTTACTCTCATATTTTCGTGAGAATATTGTAACTTGTAATAACTGATATTAATTTATAATATCAGTTCTTGATAATAATAACCGACCGACCCACAACAGACATACATGATGGCTTAAAGAAACTTAAAGCACTTGACAGCTGGACCTGATAAATTGTTATCACGTCATTATACAATAGTTGAAATAATAGTTGAAAAAAGGTCACGATCTCTCCAATATTATAAAGATGCTAGACTAGGCCATAATTATAGAGGGTCGTAAATTACATTCGTGCAATGCTTTTTGACCTTGAAAGTTTAGAATATTTAAAATGAGAGTGACCTAAAACAATTTTATTTCATACAGAATAGCACCATTAATGAACCACTGCACCTCGACACCTTCTACATAGCATTGTAATAATTTCAAAAACAAATGGATATTACTAGACTATTCAAACGATAAGGTACAAAAAAGCTGCAAATATTGAACGGTTCTCGAATTGATGGCAACTAAACCAAAAGTGCCTCAAGGCATTTACTTGCTTCTCCATTCTTAATAATATATTAATGGTGGGTCAAATGGCTCAGTGGGTTGTTGTTTAAATCGGAGAGCCGATGCTGAGGTTCTATTTCCGCAGAGGTAAATTTTTCCAGAAATCCAGATGTGATGCTGGCGACTCACCTATAATTCTATCGCCAAGGGACATATTGGTCCAGTAGGACAGCCTGGGGAACCAGTCAAACGAGAAATGGTGAGGGCTCTTGAAGTACCTTTTTGCAGCAGACGCAGATTATAATAAAAAAGTTATTATTCCCATAATAAGCTAACTAACATAAAGGACAATCTTAATAAAATCTTAACTTAGCGTTTCCACAGTGCTTTAGTGAGTTTCTGTGAAAATCTAATTTTATTCATATTTCGTAAATTCTCGAATATTATTAGGTGTTTGCCATTTGTTTTTTTCATTTTTTTGTTTTTAGGCCTTATCTGCTTATCATTTGTTTATCATTTGAATTAATAAATAATGAACTGGTTGAAGTTGAATGCTTTCATCGGCGACGTCTATATTCAATGCATATTGCATGGACAAAAGTTCTTCCCTTAACTTCTCGGCATTCGCTAAGTATTCAAAGACGACGTTAACATTTATCCATCTGAATTTGTATATGGAACTGCACCTAAGCGAAATTCTTATTTTATCAGTAAGTGGCACTTTTCGCCGTCTAAGAACGATGATAAGCAAGTTTCACCTGTCTCACATGTTTGCACATCTTTATCAAAGGCGATCATCATTAGCAAAGCCCTAACGGCCCTATGATGGGCCATAACATAGTACTTTCTCATTCACAGCACATATCTTTGCTACAGCTTGAGCTACGAAATTGCATTGAACATATTGCGGTTCTAATCAGAGCAACTTAAAGCAGCTTATATCAACAGATATACCAGCAATTTTCAATTTTTCCATGGATCTATGACGTAACACTATCCATGAATTGCTTCCAGGCGTTCGCCATAATCCTCGATCTGTGGATTTTAAGCACCTCCATTGCTCCATTCTAACCTTTCAAAGTCGAAAAGCACCATATACTTGACAATTGAACAACTCCTAAGCTGAGTTATACTCTTCCGGTAATTTCTCCGAGGATTCCTCCGTTATATCCCCTCGGCAATTCCCTCCGAAGTAAAAATCATTACCTTTAAAAATCACCATTGTACTGGTGCCACCCAACTGACCACTGCAATGGTACCAAACAAACGCCTGAAAACAAACACCCTCCAACAAACAATCGACTAATGCACTTCATGTGATCTTCTGTAATCTTTTGACAAAAATTTGAATTTTCGAATTCGGAATACGAGAATTAGAAATTTTTATGCTAAAATGCAGTATCGGCTTCTTATTTTAAGTTATCGAAAAACGTTCGAGGTTCGGTGTTTCAGTTGAATGAATTTTGGCCATTAGAATTAATAAATTCTCGAAAAGGAATGAAGAGAAACGATAGGTTTTAATAAATTTTTTTTGTTTCAATAAATTTTTGGATTTTTATTATTTTCGCTTAATTTGTAAAATTTTTGAAAAAAAAAATTCAGAAATTTTAGAAAATTTTAAAAAAAGTTTGAAATTTTATTTATTATTATTGTTGTTATTTAGTAATTAAGTCTTAAATGAATAGTTGAAAATTAAAAAAAATTCTCGAATTCAAACAGTTTTTAGAATTGATAATTATAATAATAAATATATAATAACTGATAATTATGATAATAAATATATAATAATTGATAATTATAATAATAAATATATAACAATTGATAATTATGATAATAAATATATAACAATTGATAATTATGATAATAAATATATAGTAATTGATAATTATAATAAATATATATTATAATAAATAATTGAATAATAAAGTTAATATATAATATAATTTAATATATAATTTAATATATTAATTATGATATATAATAATTTAAAATTGAATTTATTTTTGGAAAATAGCAAAAAATTGCAGAAATAAAAAAGAAAAAAATATTTTTTGCGTTTGAATTTTGCATGAACGGTCGATTTGTTTTGTTGTTCGATAATATTTAGTTTAATCCATAAAAAATAATAATAATTAGATTCAACGATTCGATTTACACGCATTTTTCCAATAACCCATATTTATAAAATATTTTTTATTATTTATTAGTATAAAAAAAAAATCCGCGAAATCACACCGAATTAAGCATCTAAGAGATAAGCGCTTTCGTTAATTATATGCTTTATAATCGCGTTGTTAAACGTTGATTCTGCTGATTTAGCGATTTAGGCGATTTATTTCTAAAATTTAAAACCACCACCGACTGAAGATCACCGACGATATTTTTGGTAAAGGTCCTTGAGGATCCTCGGGGTCCGTGAATTTGGTTGAAAAAAATTTTTGTTTTCACTTTTTCATAAACGAAATTTAGCATTTCTGTCAATTATGAGTCGCCGCTATTGTTCTTATTTTGGAAAGTCAAAGCTAAGGACTACCAAACCTGTTCTTCGATCCAAGTGACTCTCTGACAAAATTTTCCTGGTTAGACCAATCAAAATTGCAGTAAATGGACTTGTCAACTTTAAATATCAGAGATAATCTTCATCTCGCATCACTTTGCCACATTATTTCTATTTATTTTAAAACTGAAGAAAAGTTGTCCATAGGTTTCATCCGATTGTCAAGGAAATCCATGAAATGGAAAAGCTGCCTTATTCTATATTTTTTGTATAAATAAATTATTATTGATTATTAATATTATTATTTTCATCATTATTATTATTGTCATTATTAATATTATTATTATCATTATTATTATTGTCATTATTAATATTACCATTGTTATTATTGTTATTGTTATTATTGTTTTTCTCTTATTATTATTATTACTTTTATTATTTTTCATTTTTCATCTTTTATTTTTTCGTTATCTTTTTTATTATTTTCAATTCCTTACTGTTAATGCCAATAAATAACGTTTATCGTGCTTGTTTTCCTATAAAGTTTCACAATGAAACATTCACATTTTTATGAATTTATCATTAGCATTTTCCATTGGCTTCTTAAAGAATATTAATAATGAAACATGCATTTGTGAAAGAAATATTTATTTCCTTACCAATGCGGGTGAATTTGAATCACATAGCGTTAGTAATTGCCGGCTGCTAGCTTATATTTTTATGGTCAAATGGTTCCCTAGCGAAATTTGCCTACTCTAATAAGCCAAGGATGTGGCGAGCCCAATGGTAGAAATGGTAAACGCATTTGGAAGAAAAATTATTATCTATGCGCTATTTTGTCGTTCGTTTAATTCAAAAATACTATTTATCATTATCATTTATCATTTTTCTATTATCACTTGCATCTTTTTTTTTGCTTTTTATTTTATTTATTTCATAGTTTATAATATTAGAAAATTTTTGAAGAGATAATTTCAAAACAAAACAAATTTATTAATTAATAATTTTGTTTATTAGAAATTTTCTTGGAAAATTTGTATATACTTCAGTCGTATTTTCCCATACTTCACTGAGAATTTTCTAATAATTTTCATTGAATTTATTTATTTCTTTTCTTTTCTTCAGTAATAATTTCAAAATAATCGTTAATAAATAGGTTGGAAAAGGTTGTATTGGCGATTCGTCCATTCTTCGATCGCCGAATAATTTTCTAAAGCCGAAGTTAAACGAGCGAGTGCAGCCAAAAATGGCTCTTCAAAAAATCGAATATGGACGATAGCGGGAATAAAATCGCGCAATATTTTAATTTTCAGGACAATTTTCATAATATTTTATTATTAATTCATGTGTACCTTCTCAATATTGAATATTTTTCCTTAATTTTTGCACATAAAACAATAAATAAAATCAGCACTAATATATTTATACAATAAAAAATATTGTAAATAAAATAATTTTAGAAAAAACGACGAAAAAATTATTTTTTTTCTAAATCCATTTACGATAAGCATTCTTTATAATTTCTGATTTGGTTTTTGGTACTATTCGCTATTAAAAAATGAGACCAAATGAGATTTTTCACCATAGAGTGCCATAGAGAATTAAAATGTGAATCTTCTTCTTCTAACAGCTCTCAGCATTACTGGTTAGGATGACTGCATTGGCTCTCCATGGAATGCCTTAAGAAATAAAAATGTGAATCTTCTTCTTCTAACAGCTCTCAGCATTACTGGTTAGGATGGCTGCATTGGCTCTCCATGGAATGCCTTAAGAAATAAAAATGTGAATCTTCTTCTTCTAACAGCTCTCAGCATTACTGGTTAGGATGACTGCATTGGCTCTCCATGGAATGCCTTAAGAAATAAAAATGTGAATCTTCTTCTTCTAACAGCTCTCAGCATTACTGGTTAGGATGACTGCATTGACTCTCCATGGAATACCTTAAGAAATAAAAAATGAAAAATGTTAATCAGAATCCGGGTGGATTAACTGATTATTTTAAAAGTAATAAATAATAAATAATTTTTAATTGTTTTTCATTTTCCACGCATTGTATTATTATTCTAATGTGAACGTTTACGCAAATTTCATTCAAATTTAGTTAAAATAATTATTTGATGAGTGGAAAAGCAATTAACTAAAAATATGCATCCAAAAATAATAATTTTAGATTATTTTTTTTCCATAAAACTTAATCGATTGTCATTTTCGATTATTGTGGGAGAATATTAATTAACTTGTAATCAGCCATAAAAGTTATTCTAAAAAGACTTTTCTCCGACGCGACATTTTTGCAGATCTCAATTATTTAATTTTCGGCTATCATTAAATAAATTTAAATTTTATTTTTTACTTCAATGAACTAAAAGAAGAAATTTTGGAACATCGATGTTCGAGGTTTTATTCCCAGAAGATGTGAAAAA